TGCAAAAAAAATGTCACATTTTTGAATATGGTGTGCCAAGACTTGGCACTCTTTATCGAGAATAAAGTCTTGGAAAATTTCAAGACACGTTCCAAAAAATCACATGGTCCGAACGTGTTCGAATACGTCTTGTCGTGACGGCGGTTAGGGAGACTTGGATACGGCTGTTCGAAAACTTCTAGTGATTATCGACCTATCGAATCGATTCATCAAATCGATCTATCGTATCGACCTATCGCATTCGCGGGACTGAGCGCATAGGTGGCGTCGTTGTAGGAACGCGAGCCATCCTTAGCGCGATTACGCGGTCATCTTGGGTCTGTTTACGTCGAGCAGCCGCCATTAACGCATCGATCGACGTCGCTCTGCGTATGGAAATAAATATCAGGAGTGTTGAAAACAACGCTGTGCGATCATCGGGACGTGAGTACCAGAGAGTAATCTCGTTTTTTTGCATATATAACCCGCGACCTGCCGAGTCAGCGTCTCTTGTATATTTGTTATGACTGTTGACTTACTCGGATAGCGACTGAATGGAACGACCGTCGGACTGAGTAGTCTCGAATTAGAAATGTGCTGACAATCAGAGGGAAAGGTAAAATGACGCGAGAAAGAGTTCTGCGCGACGCGGAATCTTGGATGAGTAGAGTTGGTTAGCCATGGGGTGCGCCACTCAATCCCGCGGACGTGCACGATGTCTGGCGTCATATAATGTAGCCAATTTCACGACATGACGTCGTCGTGCGCAATTTTCTCGAAAACCATAAATTCCGGCTTAGCTCGTTAGTCCGGTGGCGTGCTCGTCCGTTTATATCGCGACGCGGCGCTCGCTACGCTAATGCCTCGCCGCGCGGCGCATAAAGCAGTCCTCCAGTGGCTCGTTGCGCGCTCGCACGAATGGAAAGCACGATCGGCAACGTTACAGCAAATTTCTATCCTTGCGCGTGTGAGCTTGCACCGCTAACGTGCGCGCGCGCCGCAAGTGGCTGGTTGCTATGCCGCAAGACGCGCGGGATACGTTCGCCGGTGTGCTTAATTAACTCGGATAGCTCATTACTGGCATCCCTCCCATCGCTGTTTCGGGCTCTCGCGATATGACGCGCTTCTCCTTCGCTTATCAAGTTATCAACTCGGCGAGAAAGGCTACGTCGGCTTCGCATCAAGCAGCGAAATTTCGTCGGCTCGGTTCGTTCCTCCTCGTTCCATCGCGCGTATACTCGCGTCGCGATTATTCAATATAGCTCCGTTAAATATCATGAATCTCCACCCTTGGATATTTTATCGCTGAGTATTCCACGTATTTCGCACAGCAATGCGACGACATGCAGAAAGAGAGAAAAAGAACTGATTTTAATAGAAAATCGAAGTTTCTCGTTACTTTTGTCGCCACAAATAATTTTGCTTGTCAAGGAATAAATATGAATCTGATCTGCTGCGATCGCAGTTCTATTATAATATCTATATCTGAAATACTATTAAAAGAAGCGAGAATTCGCGAGGTTAATCTTCGCAAATAAATTAAATATATGTCAGTCAGAATTATCGCGTCACATATACGTGGTATAGTAAGCAGCTATAAATACAGCGGTTTTGTATCTTTCCCTACTAAACAAAGTATGAGTCAACAAAATTTATTTTCGTTCAGCACTCTCCTTCTTCATTTTGCGTCGCAGGTATTAGATTAAATTTTCGCGCTGTTCTGCACGAAAAATAGTAAGGGAAATATTTTTGGGCACAGCGAAGGCATCGTGACAGACGCGCCGCCTAAACGTAACGTTCAAAAAGTCTTTTGACTTTTTTATGGCGCTATCGTCACGTATGCACCCTCGTTGCAGCGCGCATCCTCCTTCCAACAGCTCATCGATTACGAAGTAAGAGTACGAAGACAGACGCGCGCGCGCGCACGGCGATGAATAACGACGCGCGAAGAAGAGCGACGGACCGTATGAACGAACGAGCGAGCGAGCGGGGCAAAGACGGAGAGAGGAAATTTCGTGCGTTCCTCCCCGTGACGGGACGGGCATTAATACACGCTGCCGTGAATTTACGATGCCGTGGAAAAGCAATATCTGTCGCTCCGGGGCGTGCTGCGTCGGGGTGCCCGGCCGAATGTTCTGACAACCACCTGGCAATCCCTTCGATTATTCGTCCGTCCGCGTCGCAATAGCGTGCACGGACCGGTGGCGCAATCAAAGTCGACCTCGTAAACCCGCCGGTTTTATTCCAAATCCGCCGGATTTACTGTGCCGCGTCAATCCCGGACACGGCCCGTCACGTCACGTCCGCGCGAATTTCGTTCGCGCGAGCGCGAAAGAACAACTTTAATCCACACAGGCGTGCCTAAGTACGGCCGCTTTGAGCCGCTCGCGCGCGCACGGGTTAGGAGATATCAATCCTACACTGTGATCTAGCAACTGCATACGCTACGTGCGCGTCAAAACGAGGCGCGTGACACTTTTTTCCTCGCGATGAAATAATTCAATCACGCTTTCTCGTATGTGCGCCAGCCAGACGTTCGTTCTATCATAGATCGCGATCGGCGCGATTCGATTCTGCTGATGAGCGTTTTGCAAAGTGATCGTCTCTTTACTTTTAATTTCAGCTTCGCGGCTGTGCTCGTAGACTCTCATTCTCGCTGCCAGCGCGTCCCTCGATATCCCGGGAGCTGTGAAATTACCTCGTGAAATTCTACGACGTCGCTTCTCGCGCATTTTACTTGCGATCCGCACGTGCGATCCGTGACTGCGTGACATCCTCAAAAATATCGGGCTTATTCGATTTTAGGCGCGACAACACGTTCAACAAGACAAAGAGAGGGATGTCTTTTTGTTGTTTGTTTGTGCTCTGGATTCACGCGTATTTTCGTCGAGTGCCGAGGACCGGGAAAAATATGACGCGTGAAATCAAAGGTATATCAGGAGCGGGTGCTCGAGCTGGCAAATCAAATTTTGCGATCTTGTTCTCATAAAATACCTACACGCCTATTTCTGTGAACTGAATTTATCCGCTTGGAACTCACTACGGTCGCGTTTGTCGCTACGACGTCGCTGTTACATTTGTCCTATTTTATCCCGTCCGGAATTTTTGTGCGAAAAACAATGCTTTTGACAGCAACGACATCGCTCTCTTTGTTTGCATCATTTTCATCTTATGACGTTCAAAATGTCCGTTTATCGAAATTCTCAATACTAGAAAAAAAATACGCATTTCATTTCTTGCAAAATTATATTACGTCACGTCTGTTTAGAAAAAGTGAAAGCCGTGAATCAACGTGAAATTGAAAATTTTCTTCCTCCAGCGGGCGAATTTTCTTTATCTCGGTATTCCTCTCGTTTAACAGTGTCGGATTCATCTCTCTTGAAGTTCATTTATCGCGGCTCGGAGAAAGAGAATGGGAGCTGTGGGAGCTGCCCGCCTCTCGTCTCGCATTGTGCAAGAGAAAACGGCGGTGTCCTCCAAATTCTCAAATTTCCGGCCAGTAAATCGAACGATATAAATTTTCCGATCCGTTTCACCCTTTATCTTTTCTGTTTGGCCCGGTAACGGCGCCGCCCCGCCCGTACCTTGCCCCGTGTCTCAAAGCCGTCTCGGACTCGAGCCGATTACCGAGATTTCCGCGGCACAATCACGAAAGCAAGCGCGGATAAATCCGCGTGCGAGAGCGGCGAGATCGGCGAGCTGCGGCGCCAGCTGTGATGAAGTAGTAGTAGTAGAGCACGGTTGTAAAGAGCCCGCAAATACGTGAAATCGCTGGTAATCGAATCGAGTCGAACGATGGGATCTTTTCAGACTGTTGGTTGACAGAATCATTCCCGCGTTGTCTCGACGCCAACGACGCGGCTCACAAACCGGTTACAAAGGGCATGTAATCGACAAGCGTAATGAACCGCGAGCGACACCATGCCATCGTTCCCTTGTAATCCGCCCTCAGGGAAGAGGGTAGTTTTCGCGATAATATCGCTATCATCGATCCTGCCGAGCTGCGTTTGATCTTCCCTTCGCGATCTTTGATAGCATCCTCTCCTCTTTCGCCCGCTATCTGTTTATCCATCTTTTCGCCTCCCTACGGCAGTTTCCCTTCCTGTCTTCTTTCGGAATCCCGCTTGATCTTTCGCGTAGGGGGCCGCGTTAATCGATAACGCCGGTTGGGGACGCAAACTCGTGCACGAGGGAGAGCAGAACGACGCGACTGTAGAATCGTCTGTGCTTGCGCGGTCGTCAACGGACATACGATTCGCATTACTCGCAGTGGAAGGGAATTGAGAGTGCGAAATTGTATTAAATGTCTCTACCAGAGTCGAAATTTAGATTCTACTTTAAGGCCTTTATTCTGAACTCTCTTTTATTGATAAAAGTACTTGTATACGATTGAAAACCGATCAAAAAACTTATAAGCCACATTTGGAGGCACTTTTGTCGGTAAATTAGAATTCAAAATAATCTATGTCTGTAAATATCGTCGAACTTGTAGGCCCGTAAAGCATCTCGAAATATAGCATTTGTGGACTATTGTACTCTGATACTACAAATCGTAACTTATCGCCGTTTTTTTCCATGTGAATATTTAAAGAAATGCTTGCTAAGAGTGGAACACATTAAGTGATGAGAGTAATGTGGAACACATTAAGTGATGAGAGTAATGTGGAACACATTAAGTTCAAAGTTCAATTATATCTCGGCAATTTTTTAATATTATCCTCTCTCTGCACAATTTCGTGACACAAATTAAACTAATTTCCAGAAATATTCAAATCGAAGAAAGACCATCGATATTATTGATTTCTCTCATTTATTTTATTCATATCAATCATCAACTGACCGCTGGTTTTATTCACCACGTGCACTCGCACGGGCTTGCGCAATACGCAACCCGACACGTGTTCACTCATTCGCACGACACAGCGCGTTCGCTGGCACCGAACACGATTTTAGACGCTATAACTTTTGAAGAAATCCACGAAACGAAACACGAGACGAAAAGTAATCTTCTTTTGTAGTGTGGACGTACGATTTTTCGTCGTCAATTCGGAGAACAATTGCAAGGAAGGAACGATCTGCGAAAGACTTTTGCGATCGGAAAATGTATTGTCGATATTTGGTCGTTTATAATAGCGAATATCTTTTCTTTCGGTATCCCCCTGCTCTGTTCTCGACAAATATCGATGACAGGTCGCGTCGGCTGTCAAATGTTAATGAGATGCATGTGCATTGTCGACAGATATGATAATTTTCTATTTAATTGATAATTATTGTGGATTGTAATTAATATCGATCGTTGACGCGCTGCAATATTTTAACAGAAATCTCGATGTAATATTCAAATTGCGATGAAATGTCACCGCGTCCTTCTATTGAACAGCACATTTTTTAGTCGAATAATATGCTTTCCATTATCAACAATTATTAACAATATCTCGTACGAT